CTCGAATCCTGTCCTACGGTGTCTTAGATGCTAATGGATTCTTGTGATTGAGGAAAATGCATAGCACCATTCGCCTTTGCCAGTTAGCACTGTTCGCTAGTGGCCATGGGTAACCAGCTAGTCGCTCCCCTAGAATTTAGAGTGTGGAGGGCTCCCCTTCCTCCCTCCCCCTCCCCACCTCCCAGATTTGTGAAAGATTCAAGCAGAGGCGATACTCGAAGGTATTGACTTATCGTACCTACCTGCACAATGTCTCTAGATTATTTCTCAATGGAACTGTCAATTATAGCTATGATATCATTGTGTCTAGAACAGTGGTTCTCCCAATCAAGTTGAGCATCCAAATCCCCCGAGGAGTTAAAACAAAAATTATAGATTTCGGAATACCGCTGATTACAGAATCAGAATACCTGGCTGGGGCCCCAGGAGAACCCTCATTACTCGGCATAATTGTCAGCCTTGCCTTACAAAATAGTCCTTGGGTCATGTGTGGGTGCGTGGGTGGGAGGGAGGAGATACAAGAAAGGAATCTTTTCCTAAGCACTTCAATCAGGGCTGGGTTGTGGTAGAGAAACAGGGAAATGAAGAAATACTGAAGTAACCACATTTTAGTGTGAAGGACGGTATTTGTTCATCTTTGTTCCTTCAAAGTTTTTCTCAATCAGTGCAGAGGTTTTTAACCTGGAATTTTTCTAACTCCAAGGATTGGAGAAGGTAATGGAGATTATTAAGCCATTTAAAAAACGAAAAACTAGCTTTGCTGAGACATAACTCACATCTCATTCAGGTCACCTCCTTGAAGTGTACAGCAGAATGGTTTGGGGTATGGTCACACACCACTGTTGTGCCGCCCTCATGACAATACAGTTAGGACATTTTCATCACCCCAAAAGGAAACCCCATATCCATTATAAGTTATATTTAATACTCAAAGAAGTCTAACTTACTAGTTTATAATAAAACTCCAAGGCTAATATCAAGGTTTTTTGATTCAGGCTAGAGTGATGTCAGATAAGGGTGGTTCATGTTAAGCTTTGATTCAGAACTACATTACTTTATTTTATTTTTTTTATCCTCTCCCGAGGACATTTTTGCATTGATCTTCAGATAGAGTGGGAGGGAGAGAGGGAGGGAGAGAGAGAAACATCGATGTGAGAGAGACACATCGACTGGTCGCCACCTACACAACCCCATCCGGGGCCGGGACAAACTGCACCCAAGGTACGTGCCCTTAGCAGGAAGGAACCTGGGCCTCTCTGGTCTGGGGGCCGACGCTCTAACCGCTGAGCAGACTGGCCGGGGCCAGAACTCCATTATTTTTAAAGGGAAAATGGATTAATAAATAGACTCTGTTTGTTGGATCCAGTCTTTCAGATGAGAAGGGAACCAGGCTGTGCATCTCTGTGCTGTTACATGCTGATTGACTCAATCATGGACTGACTCAGTGTCAAGTGATGACTGGTGACCAGTGATGGAAGCCATGTTTCAGTGACTTATTTTAGTCTGAACAGGAATTAAAACTCTCTAATAGTCTGCTCAGGAGGTAGATGTACTTTATTCTGCTTGAAATGGAAGAACTTGGTTTTGACAACTTTTCCCACATTGTGTAACAGTCATCCTCTTTTTAAAAAGTTTTTTTTGCTTTATTGATTTTAGAGAGAAAGGAAGGGAGAGAGAGAGAGAGAGAGAAACATTGATGAGAGAGAACATTGATTGGCTACCTCCTGCATGCTCCCCACTGGAGATCAGGCCCACACCAAGGCATGTGCCCTGACAGGGAATCGAACCGGCGACCTCTTGGTGCCTGGGTTGATGCTCAACCACTGAGCCACACCAGCTGGGCGATTCATGCTCTCTTTGTACTGCCCAGTTTAGGCTGCCGTGCAGTTAGTTCAGTGTCACTGCAGCTCTTTTGAATGAAGCATCTTGATTAAGTGACATTTCCAAGGACTGCTATTAGTGTAGCCTTGCTAAATTAATGGATGTCACTTTATTCAAGATAGCCTGTAGCCCATTTTGGGCTTTGGAAGATTGGATTTGGGAGCTGTGAGATTCCAGCTTACCCAAGGAAGGCAAGGAAGTCCCTGATTTACGTTTGTGTCTTCTTGGGGAAGAGGAGATGCGAAGGCAGAGGGAGCCAGCGTCTTTGCCGGGGCCGGTTACTTCCCACTAGTCATGGCCTCCTGCGTTAGGTTCTTTTACAAATACCAGGAAAGCAGTGATCTATTACCAACTTATTACTCCCAGCTACCATTCTTGTTTTTGAACTTACTCATCTGTAAGTTTCCAGAACTTGTTTACCCTTGACCCCCACCTCTGTCATCCTGGAGTTCTACCCATGGACCACCCAGCGATCACATACCCAGAGCGATGTTTCCAAGAAGACATTCATTTCACAAATAATCCCTTCCCCTGGGAATTTTTGGAATTAGTTGCTTTGTTTATTTTATCTTCTTCAAATAAGAGTTTGCATACTTCTCACTGGCATGCTTTAAAAAAATGCCAAAGAGCCCTGGCCAGTTTGGCTCAGCGGTTGGAGCGTTGGCCTGTGGACCGGAGAGTCCCAGGTTCGGTTCCCGCTAAGGGCACATACCTTGGTTGCAGTTTGTCCCCAGCCCTGGTTGGTCGTGTGGGTGGCAGCCACTCGATGTGTCCCTTTCACATCTCTCTCTCTCTCTCTCTCTCTCTCTCTCTCTCTCTCTCCCTCTCCCTCTCTCCCTTCTGCTCTATCTGAAGATAAATGCAAAAATGTCCTTGGGTGAGGATTAAAAAATAATAATAATAATAATAAAAAAAAAAGCCAAAGACACACACACACACACACACACACAATGAGTACAACACCTGTGAAAACCCACCATGACCTCAAACAGAAGTCCTCCCCACCATGACTGAAGGAATGTTCTGCCTTGGTGGGCTATATAGTTTGTGGGTCATCCAAGCCTTGGCTTCTCTTTTCTTCTTTCCTGTTGCATGGATTTGCCCTCTTTCCTTGGTTATTAACACTTTACCCAGAGGGTGGAAAGAATTGAACTCCAAGGGTGATTTCTGTTTTCCAGCTACTGTTGGTGGAGGACCATGAGCCAGTGGCAGTTTGGGAATATCAGATTATCATTACTTCACTTGGATTCATCAAAAGGTGGTTTGTTTTGGCATGAAAAAAAGGCTGTTTATAAATCAGTGCAATGTGGACAAGTGTATTTCCTGTTCATCTACCTCAGTTTAGGTTCTTGAACTTCAGTGTGCAAAACATTGAACCAAGTAGGTTCCCGGGCCCTGCCTGCTCCCTGAGGTTCCATTTCCAGGGCATGTGGACTAGGGTTTTGCATTTAGCAAATTGTCCCACGGTCCTTCTGATTCAGATTAATTAGGGGTCACCTTTGAGAAACACTGTCCCGGAATTTGTACGTTGCTGTTCAGGTGCCAGCTCAGCCTTCTCGGTGGTTAAATAGTTGACAATTACCAAGGTGTAATTATAGTGCGTACGGTTTCCAAGGCAACATGCATTTTGTTCCTTCTACCTATCGAGCTGGATAGATGGAAAGGGACCACAGAGAGGCTGACCTCCACATTAACATCACTGAAGTGCTTTATGATGCCTGGGTGTTTGTACCAGTCACCCAAGGACCCTGCTCAATGGCAGCAGCAGGAAAGAAAGGAAACAACACAAGTCGCTGAATTTCTGGAGGCAGGGAGTCGCGGACACCAGGAGGGATGAGTGTAGCCACTTAGTTGCTTGCATTCCACCCCCTCTTGTCTCCTCAGGTCAGTTTAGTCCAGAATGATAAGGATGGTGGAGGAGCAAGACAGCCTTGAAAGCCTTTAGAAACTAATGGTCATCCGTGGCTAACATTTGACCACTGTTTCTCAGTTCTCAGGTGGACGGTCCTGTTGAAGTCCACCTGCTCTCACTTCCTGTCAGTTGAGGCTTGAAGTTACATTCATAGAACACGTAGGGCCACATGTGATGGAAACTTGCACATGGGGTTCCTGGCCTTTGTGACCTGAATGCAAAGGTTCCCCATTTTGTACATTTTTCCATGTTTAAGGATGAAAAAACATAAGGTCCACCCCATCTTTTAGCACAGGAATCTGCTTTTCGGTTCTCGCTGGAAAGCTAGAGAGCACTGGAGAAAGCGTTCAGCTGTCAGACTTCGGGATCTGGTCCTGACTTCCAGCGTCTGTAGCTCTGTGGCCGCGGCAAGTTCCCCAGCTTCTCCCTCCATCAGTGGTCTCCACTTCTGAAGGGTGGCGATCACCTGGCAGAGTCCGATGAAAACTAGGAACTCTCTTCCGTGAAAGATGTACACCTAGACTTAAGAAGATTCCATTCACTTTCCAGGGGACCACTGACCCCTCCCGAATAAGCTGATTCCTTCAAGACTTTTTCAGCTCCAGCTGGGAATGGCTGGGTCCCGCAAGGACCCGGGGAGTCTTTCTCATTGTTTAAAGTGGCCTCCTGAGGAATGAGGTATTTGCCGAGGGAGGTTTTGTTGTTCCTGGCATTTTTCACTAACTGCCCTGTGCATTTAGAGGGGGGAAAACCACACTGAGAAAAAATAAATAGAGAGTGTGTGGCATGTGGAGCATGAACTGTTGTCCTGATCATTCTTCACTATGGTGACCCTCCCAGGGGAGGTGGTGGTACAGTTATCACATGAAGGATGTGTAGAGGAATTAATTCAGCGGACACATACTGTGCTCTGTACAATGACAGTTGAGTAGTCACTTAAACTTGTTCTTCTTTTAATGTTCGGGAAGTTGGGGTAAAATGTAAAGATTTAGTTAACTTGACAATATCAGAAGGTTCCAGGGAGTAGTATATCATGAGTGGAAATAACATGTTCTTGACCACATTTTATCTTTTAACTGGCCGTCTTCCTAACTCAGCCCCAACCTTCTGCCTAGGACCCACAGTTGTCATCCCATCAGGAGGGAGTGTCTGTGCTGTGTATTTGGAAACATCCATACTTGATTTCTTTCTTTCTTTCTCTGTGTAGGTGTTGAGCAGTCTCCTCTAGAGCTTTGGAAGGCTGAATGGACTGAACATGAAGAGCTTGAAAGCCAAGTTCAGGAAGAGCGATGTGAGTACACACTGATGCACTGTATGGGGTGAGGCACTGGACTCCCTGGTGTGGAGTGGCTGCTCCAGCCCGCCCGGGGCTGCAGGAACAGCCTCCACTCCCACCTGAGAAGGCGCTGGGTTAATCAGCCACAGATGGGCTCATCTGGGCTCCGGCTCAGGGTAGCATTTGCGAATGTCGAGCTCGAGGTTTCTTGCTGTTTGTTGTGTATAGCTTTCAAAATTGACATTTTAAGATTCCTGGAGTCTGTGCCTTGTAAAGAAACGAACACATTACACATCTTAAATAAAGGAATTAGTAAAAAGCTCAGCATTTCTGCAGTCCCCCAAATCTGATTTTTAGAGGAAGCTAGTGTTAGGAGGATGGTTAAAGAATTACATCCTAGCATGATTGATGCTCAGACTTAGGGAACTCTTAACTGTCTGTTAAGGCGTTTGTGGTAGAACGATATCTGTTGCTGCCTTTACCTTTACCACCCCCCTGAATTCCTGGGGTTCTTACTCATTTGTTATTCATTATACAAGACTTTGGATTGGAGGAACCAGCTATGGTGTCAGGATTATGAAACAAAGGCTCCCAGAGGACAACATGGAAGAAAACAGCCTCGCAGCAGGACTGTTTTAAGAAAATGTCTTCTTATAAACCCTGTGAAATTTGTCTTGTACCAGCTGCATTCTGGATCCTTTGAACAGAATTGTTGAATGGGACAAATTCACGGAAGGGTATTTGCTGGAATTCCAGATGTGTCATCTCCATAATGGGCTTGCTTGGCTATCATTTAACATTAGGTAATCAGAGGTAAGCCTGGGTTGTGTTGCTTTGCTGTGAATTACGTGACAGCTTGGCACAACCACGTTTTTTGCAATAAGTAGAGGCTGCGTCTTTTATGGCGAACTCACACACACACACACCTCCTTTTGGCTGCCACTTATCTCCTGAGTTTGCATCGTGACATTAACTTACCGCCCTGATAAGACCCAGACCAGAGAAAATGCTTGTGGGATGATTGCAGAATCTTATCTTGTTTAAAGGAAGTTAGAGCTAGAAAGATTTTTCAGGGAAAAGTTGCTCTCTTCTCATTCTTCTGGTAAGCTCACTGACACTTAGAATGTGAAGTGACTCAGACTCGTCCATCCAGCCTTTGGCCAGGGAGGGCCTAGGTCATCTGACTTCCTTAGCCCCCTCCCCCTGCCAGTCCCCTGAGAAGCTCCCTTCAATCCCCTCATCTGCTGGCCGTATGACGCCAGAGCCTACACATCTCATTTGGCTTTCTGCTAAGAAGGACCAGGCAGTTAAATGGAAAGAAAACGTTGCCCAGTTGAAAGATACGGGTTTGAAAAATGTGTTACCAGGTTAACAACGTCTTTTCCATTCCAGGGGAATTTGGGTAGCTTCCATTTATATAAGTTGAGAGTATTTTAGCAAAATTTAATCAGTCTAGAGTTCCATGAAATGTGATTAGGGGTGGGGGAGACATGGTAGGCACATAAACTTTGGGTTTAAAAAATTAACAGCTGCCTAGATGGTGTGCCTCAGTGGGTTGAGTGTTGACCCACGCACCAAGAGGTCGCCGGTTTTATTCCCAGTCAAGGCACATGCCCAGGTTGTGGGCCAAATCCCCAGTGGAAGGCATCAGGGGGAGGTCACTTGATGTTCTCTCTCATCAATGTTTCTCTCTGTCTCTCTCTCTCTCCCTTCCTCTCTCTGTCAAATCAATAAAGAAAAAAAATTAAAAACTATGGCGGTAGCCAGGGTGTTACTGGAATCTATTTTTAAAATAAAAACGGGAATGTTTCCACGATAACAAAGTCACAGTAATAATACCATTAAAAGCTCTTGGGATTTGGCAGCAGAAAGGTTGCACATTTAGCGGTTCATGCAAAGAGAGGAAATATTGGTGCAGCCAGCTTCGGGCAAAGAGCAAAGCAAATGGGTATAATGGGGCCAGAAAATATCAGATGGCTCCCCAAATTCATCCCAAATTGCTTCCCAGACCGCACTATTATACAGCCAAATGGAGGGGATAAAGACAAAAATGAAAACCTTTTTGAACCCCTGTTTGTTCAAGAGCCATGTGATCCTAGTGACTAACCCATTACGGAGCACTTGCTGTATCGGGCCAGGCCAGGCTCTGTGTGTGAAATCATTTGACCTCGCCACCACCTCGTGTGGGTGGGTATTCCAGTTAGGGTCACTTTACAGATGAAGACACTGAGACCTAGGGAGGCAGAGTAACTTGTCTGGCTTCTTAGAATTAGTTTTTTGTGCCAAAGTAACCTGTTTCCAGAGCCCAGGTTTCCTGAAAAAGGAGATTTGGCTGCAGATTTGACTTTATGAAACAAGCCAATCCAGGCCATAGTTGGGAAAAGCAACTTTGGACCTGGGTGTGTGGCCTTGGGCAAGATTATCTTTCTTGAACCTCAGGTTCCTCCCCTGAAAAGTGGAGAAAATAGTAGCCTTAGCACAGCTGGTGTGGCTCAGTGGTTGAGTGTCGACCCATGCACCAAGAGGTCACTGGTTCGATTCCTGGTCAGGGCTCTTGCCCAGCCTGTGGGCCGATTCCCAGTAGGAGGCATGCAGGAGGCGGCCGTCGATGTTCTCTCTCATCAATGTTTCTGTCTCTCTTCCTCTCTCTAAAATCAATAAAGAAAAATTATTTAAAAATATTAACCTTGCCCTGGCCGGTTTGGCTCAGCGGTAGAGTGTCGGCCTGCAGTCCAGAGAGACCCGGGTTCGGTTCCCGCTAAGGGCACGTACCCCAGTTGCAGTTTGTCCCCGGCCCTGGTTGGTCGTGCGGGTGGCAACTACTCGATGTGTCCCTTTCACATCGATGTTTCTCTCTCTCTCTCCCTCCCCACTCTATCTGAACAAAAAATGGAAAAATGTCCTCGGGTGAGGATAAAAAAATATATATATTAATCTTACACAGTTGTGAAAGTTGAATGTGCTTGTCGATGTAAAACACACATCTTAGGACCTGACAGTCAGGAGCTGCTTGGTAAATACTTATTCCTCTCTCGTAATCAGAAACCCACGACAAAAGTGGGCTCGGAAAAGTGTATACAGTCTGGAGGGTGAAATGGTCTCGAAACAGTTGCTGTCTCGGAGGGTCCGCGAAACAGAGCTGGGAGTGTGTGGGGGAGGGAGGCTTACTTTTCCATGTGTGCTATGGTTTGAATATTTTTGTTTATGTATGTGCACATACATGTGATCACTTGTTACAAGAAAAATAAATGTTAAACTATTTATATTTAGTTCAATGAGCCAGACTATAATCATCGTTACCCAAAGTGAATGGTCTCGCTCAAAGAATGAACCTAAACCACCCGCCATCGAACTTTCCTGCTTGTCTTCGTGTGAGGCTGAACTCGGAGAAGCTGGAAGAAAGGGCTCTTTGTGCTTCTAGGGGTAGGAAGAAGGGACAGCAGATCATGTTCGGGCTTTCATAACGAGAGGGCCCGTGACCCACTGCTGTGATCGTGTTTCCGTCCGCCTGTGTCGGGCGGTCTGGAGCCTGGTCAGCTGGTGGCCATGGAGAGCAGAACCCAGGGGTGCAGAAGGACAAGAGTGGCCAAAGGAGCCCCCATGGGTGGCCTGAAGGTCACTGCTACTCCAGGACCATCATTCGGGTAGAGATCTAATCCCAGTGTCCTTTCTGGAACAATTGACTCCAGACAGCGGCCCCATGAAGGGCGGGTTGATGTGAGTGTAATAGGGGAATGAACCTGATTCTGTGACTGTGGTTAGATAATGTCATTGTCTGGGTGCTTTAATCCCTGAACATATCTGGGACCTGCAGATAACCCTCAGAGGCCAAAGAGAGTTAGGAGCTAAACACGTGTCCTCCCGTGGGTGACATTTTCTGGTTCCTCTTTATAACTTTACCTTGGGCATCCTTAAACTTGGGTTAGATTCTAGGGAGACTACGGGAGAAATGGGAAGTATGGTTCTTGTCTTAAAGAAGCTCATAAACTGAGGTGGGAGGAGAAGAATTATATGGAAGAAATTACTAAAGCAAAATACAAATTGTATAGAATATAGATTTCTTTTAAAAAATGTAAAATGTTTTTTATTGATGTTTTGGAGAGAAATGAAGAGAGAGAGAGATAGAAACATCGATGTGAGAGAGTGACGTTGATTGGCTGCCTCCTGTACACCCCCTCCTGGGGATCGAGCCTGTCATGCGGGCATGTGCCCTGACCAGGAATTGAACCCGGACCTCTCAGTCCACAGGGCGATGCTCAATCCACCAAGCCACGCTGGCTGGGCAGAAGATAGATTTTTAAAGGGACCTCAGGAAGATACAAACCAGTTGTTATTGTGGGGTCTGGATGGTCAGTGCTGTAGGTTTTCAGAGCAGCATCACTGGAATCACTGGAAATGGGAGGATTCGGGAGCACTTTCCAGAGAAGGCCTGGTTTGGAAGGATGATTGGGAGAGGGGGGTGGGGAGTGAGGGAGCCAGCCATGTAGCACAGTGGGTGACTGTCTTAAAATTGTGCCCCTGACATTGTAATACTTCAAGAGCCCGGGAGAGTGCCCATGGCATGACCCGAAGTCTTTTAATAAGAACACCGTAAATATTTCATTCTCCTTTTAAAAATGGGTATATTTGACTTTTATGTTTATAAAATGAGCACAGAGGTCTCAATCATCATTACTTACATCTCTTAGACTGCGGTTTGAAAGCGACTCCTTTACCTCTTTAAATAGTTGCAGCAACTAGTACGTGGTTCCACACGGAAAAATGAGCTGTCAGCATGAGCAACGAGGCCAAGAAGGTTGGGGTTTTCCCTCTGCTAATAAAATGCTCAGGCTTCTGGAATTTCTTTGTAAATGCCAGTTTTTGGTGCCGTGAGTGAAACGAGTGGAGGTTGAGGGATGCGAAATGGGGCTGAAAGGTCTTTGTCACAAATCTTGAGATAATGCCTCTCAAACACGGTCGGGATCTTCAGAGTTTGCTTTGTGGGTGTGTTTCATTTGATGAAAGGTTTGTTCCCG